ACACCAAGTCAAGGGTTAAGATCCCCTTACCGGTCATCTTAAAAAAAAAAAAAAAAAAGAGGAGTTGAGATTTTTGTGAGCTGGATCTAAAGAGGGCTGTGTTGAGGGTTGTCGAGAGCAGCCGGGGGGTGGTGAGTAGTGGAGGCAGAGAAGGCGGGTGGCAGGGCTGGGTAAGGGAGGGTCCCAGCAGAGCAGAGACTAAGGTAGGATTGACCTTTGAGGATGCCGAGTAAAAGAAGTTAAGGGTCAGGAAGGAGGGTCGCGGGCCTTACCAGGGCATGCAGTTGTCGGCCGCTCTGAGGCGAAAAGGGGAGCGGAAGGGGTTGGGCCGTGGAGGGCTGGTGCCCCCTCCCGTGGCCACCGCCATGGTCTGGTCGTCCATCACACAGCCATACTCGCTGCTCTCGGTGAAGAAGGCTGGCACTCGGAGGGACTGGGGTGGGGCGGGGTCTCAGATATATCCGAGCCACCAGGATGGCAGACAGGGTTAAAAGCAAAGGCCCCGGGACAGGCCGGGATGTGGGAGAGGCAGGAGGCAGATACAGAGAAGGGCAAGATGACCCGTGGGCGCTCCCCGTGTCTGTGGAGCAGATGATGGTGAAGAGGAGAGCCCAGAGACGTTCAAAAAGGGGGAGGGAGATGGGTAGGAGGTGAGAAAAGTCCCCTTTTACCCCCATTCCCCACCTGTAACCGAGGCAGAGAGCTCAGCCAAGTGTCCTTGAGACCAAAGCCAGAGTTAAATCCTGCAGAGACCAGGGAGAAGCTGGCTCCCATGGTCTACTTGTCTCCCACCTTCCCGACACCCCTACCCCTGAACCCCAGGATCTTACCGATAACCAGGTCTGGCTTGGGCCCCTGGAGTAGGTGGTAGGGCCTTGCCGACACTTTGATCTGTAGGTCCCTGCGGCCCCCTTTCTCCTTAGTCCCAGAGCTGAGTCGTGCTGATACCCCAGAACCAGGACGGACAGACACCTCGGGGCCATCCTGAGGGGACAGGAGTGGGGTGGGGAACCCACTGGAAGTTAGGGTATGTAGTGTAGGATGCACCAGGTGAGGTAGGGGAGGGGGGAGCAGAAGGGCAGGGCCTGATCAGGAGGCTACTAGGGGGATCAGGGCTGAAGAGCAGGGCCCCCTCAGGCTTTACCCTCTGCAGGGTAAAATGCTGTTGGTCACTCTCAGGGGGCAGGCCGTCACCCACAAACTGCAGCTCCAGGGCCACATGGGGGAGCAGGACCAAGAGCTCCTAAAGCACAGAGAGAAGGACACACCTGGGTCCCCTCCTGTGTCCACCCCCACACCCACATGCCCAACCTTCAGGCCTGGAGGGACTTACCCAAAACACCATTACCAGGTCAAACTCCTTCCCGGCTTCTACCACGTGGATCTTCAGTGACTGTTTGTTCTGGATGTTGAGCTCAGGGACTGCATGAGAAGCCAGCTCATTAAGGACATGGTCTCCCTCTCTTCCCCCTCTTGTCCCTACACCCTCTCCACTTCCTGCTCGGCTTTCCTTACAGGACTGGGGCACCAGGTGAGTGATGACGTAGTACACTGTCAGCGGGTAGGTGAGAAGCACAGCCATGGGGGAGTCCAAGCTGAGGCCCCGCCATGTGTAGTAATCCTGCCACGAGCCTGGGGAGAGTGGGTTACTGGGGGACTTGGCCCAGGCCTGGCCCCCAACCCCTCCAGTCTAATAGCCCCCTTTTCCTCAGTCACTCAGGCTTCTGTCCCTATCCCTAGCTCCCTCAGGGCCCCCTCAGCTCACCAAAGAGGCCCCTGGGTGGATCTGGGGGCACAGGAGGCATCAGGGCAGGCCCATCCCCTTGGAGAAGGTGGTAGGGATCTCCTGAGAAGATTAAAGGAAGGAGAGAGGCCTGGATTCAGGGAAACCCTGACCTCACCCATCTCTCTCCCTTCCAAAGGAGCTGAATTTCCTGAGAGGGTCTGGAGCTGCAGCAAGAGGAATGGAGATTTGCCTAGAGACCGGATTTCTGGATGGGGTTGGCAGAGGTGACTCCTTTGAGGGCTGGGGAAAGGTCTGAAATGGCCCTGGTGGTGTTGTAGGGGTTTGGTGTGTGTATAGAGGGGTTATCTTTGGATCCGGACATTTTCTCCCCAATCCCTCCCTCTAGGCTGAGGGGCCCATGCCTGAAGTGAGGTCCCACGCACCACTGAGAAGACTGAGGGCTGGTGTGCTGCCCCAGGGGTGCCTGGGGGTGCCAGGGCCTGTAATCAGCATGCTGAGCTGGGTCCAGTAGCCACGAGTGAGGCCCCGAGAGGCCAAGAAGGCCTCCTTGTTAAAGGTTTCACTGGTCACCTCTGGAGAATGAGGAGGTAAGGTGGTGAGGGCCTGGTGGCTAGGACCCCAGACTTTAGCTCTCCTCAGCCTCCCTCCCTAAAGGACCCAAATGAAGGCTCCAAGAAGTAAAGTGATTTAAGGCCATACTGCCAATTAGTGGTGGAGTTGGGAAGCAAGTATATGTTTGGATCCTTATTCCCAAATCCCCTAAGTTCTCCTGGGGACCCAGGTACTCAGTCCTCTACTAGACCTTGTCTCTAACCCCAGACACCTACCACCCAGCCCTTATTCCAAGGATCTAGACTCCAGCCCCAGGTACTTAGCCTTCAACCCCAGGACCCTGTCCAGTCCCAGAGACCTTTCCCCAGTTTTCCCCACCCATTCTGTCCTCCTTTACCTGCAGTGTAGGTAAAAGGCAGAGTTGCTAGTTCCCCCGCCCGCTCCATGAAGGCCGCAAGCTTTGGACACCAAAATCGGTGGCTCACATCATCTGGGCATCGCCTCCAGTCAGCCTGGAGACAAGCCTCTCCACAATACAGGACAGCACTGCACTGGGGGCTGGGGACACAGGGGTGGTATGCACCTAATGTTGATCTCTGTAAGTCCTATCTGCTGTCCATCTGCCCTGCAGCTGCCTATATATCATTTGATCTGTTTGTCTTATACCCTCTAATGGTCTGTAATAGCTTGCTTGTTTCATCTCACTGTGTCTGTCTGCTAGGCCCCCCACCGGCCTGCTTTCTCTCTGCCTGACTGTTGGGGGTCTTCCTCTCCATCTTTGCAGGCTGCTCACCATGGTGTTAGCTTCACTTCAAAGCTGTGCCTGTGACAAACATGGCAGATTCGAGCCCGAAGGGAGGCAAAGGTGAAGCCTGGCCGGGGACCCCATGTCCGCATTGGGGTCTTGGCTAACTTCACGCCCAGCCTTGGGACCAGGGTCTTCAACTCTCTGAATGGGGGTGGAGATGGAATCAGGCTTGGGGGCTCAGGAGTCCAGGTCCCAGGTCTCCCCACCCTCAGAAACCAGATTTCTGTACCGATGCAGCTGGGTGTCTCCCACAGTAAGCTGTCGGGGCTTTCGGGGGTCCCCAGAGCCCATGGGGCAGGCCATGCTGTGGCAGAGGAGAGCGTAGGCCCGAGGAGCCAGATTCTCGGTCCCTGAGCCCTGGCCTGCACTCCCCTGCGCTCCATCCATTAGCAGATCAATGCCCAAGATGATGCCATGTTCATCTGTCACCATTAAAAGGCAGGAAACGTGCAGAGGAGCAGCCTCTGGGGAAAGAGGAAAAAGTTGGAGGTGGGGGAGAAGGGCGCTATGTGAGACAAAGATGGTCAGGGTCAGGGGTACCAAACTCAAATGTCTACAGGGTCTAGGCGAGTATCCTCAATGAGGAGAGGGGACTAGGTAGAGAGGTCATGCCTCGTCTAAACGGGATAGCTGCTACACAGTACTAAAATGTGCTACCATGCAGAAGTGGAGGCTGGTGGTCAGGACTCTAGGTTTTTCTTGGGAAGATGTGTAAATCCAGTTTTCTGGATTTTTTTTCTTTCAATGTTTAAATGTTGACATTAAAAAACACTGTGGGTTGGGCTGGCCAGTTAGCTCAGGTGGTTAGAGCGTGGTGCTGATAACACCAAGGTCTAGGGTCTGATCCCTGTACCCACCAGCTGCCAGATTGGCCTGAAGACCACCACTGTGTGCCTCCTAACTAGGTTCTGAGTGGCAGGGGAGGGCTTCAGAAGGGGAGTCTGGCTGGGCAGAGCCAGCCCTGGATTCTTACCACTCCTCCATCCCTTCCTCTTCTCAGGACCTGTTTCATCCTCTGCCTTGTCCTCTCGGCAGCCATCGTGACCACCTCCTCCCTCCTGCTCAGCTTCCTCTGGCTCCCCTGGAGGGCTTGCTTCCTGGGGGGACTCCCTGCTGGCTGGGGCTGACTCCCTGTCCTTCTCCGGCTCTACCTTCTCTGTGCTTGCACCCTCCTCTCCATTCTCTTCTTTATCTTCCTCTTCCTCCTCCTCCCCATCCTCCCCATCCTCTAGGCTGACAAAGCTGATATAGGGGCTCAGGTCTTGCAGGTGGAGTGGAGGCTCCTCTCCCAGGAGCCGGGCAGCTCCCAGGCCTGGTCCAGGGCCTGGGTCTGCCCCCTGCCCCAGGCTGATGCCCACACTACGGTTGGGCAAGACATGGAGCACCCAAAGGGCAGGGTCCTGGGGCAGCCTTCTTATCTGAGCTTCCAGCTGCCGCCAGCGGCTCTCAAGGCTGGCTCCGACAGCCCGGCGCTCTGCCACGAACTTGCGGAACCAGCCAAAGAGCAGAGCAGCGAAATCAAGGAACTCGTCGCGGTATCCAGACACAAACTCCATGTCTTCAGGGGCACTGGGTCTGGGCCCAGACTGAGCAAAGGAAGAAATAGATGGTGAGGGACAGGGTAGCAGTAAGAGAGTTTGGGGCTGGGCCACAAAATGGGGGAGGGGAGGGGTTTGAGGGTCACTTAGGGTGGGACGTAGGGATGAGTGTTAGGAGCTGAGAATAGGGTTTTCAGGACTGAGGATGGGAGTTCAGGGATGAAAATGAGAGCTTCGACCTGAAAGTGGGCGATTAGGGTTGAAGATGACCACCCAGGGATGAGATGGTATTTGGGGCTCAAAACAGGATTCAAACATCAAAAGTAGGGTTTGAATTACGGATAGAGATGAGGGAGGGCTAATCCTACTGGGAAGCGTAGGGTGAGAATTTTGGATCCCTCTGTGGGGTGCGGAAAGAGAACAGGAGCTGGGGTGTCCTCTGGGCTTGGATTGGTTTGGCGCTGAGCCACAGTAGACCCACCCGGGCCGCCCCACTCCTCCGGTACCTGCAGCCGCCACCACTTTTCGAAGGTAAATACCTCGGGGAAGGGGCGATGGTGACGTCAGGGCTGCCCGAGCCCACGGCGCGCCCGTCGGGTGGCCACGCCCCCAGGGGATCGCGCGTCGCGGGTGGCGGCCCGGCCGGTGTGTGCGCGGCTGGATGCCAGCCCGGCGGCTGTCCCGACCTCTTCACTTCGGTCTGGTGACTGGATTCCGCAGCATCTAGAGGCCGGCCCGAGGAAGTGAGAGCGTCTTGGAGGAGGGGGAGGTTCACGGGTCCGCGGACCCACCTGGAGCGGCCGGCGGGGGCGGACGTGCCGGCACCGAACCGAGCCAGCCCGTCGGGCCGCGGTCCGGCGGTCCCGTCTCTCCCCGCCGCCCGACTTCTCTTTCGCTTTCTTCAGACATTCCTGGCGCCCCCTGGACCGAGGCCCTGGGCCCGGTGCGGGGGCGCGGGG